CACCGACTTCCGCCTTTGCGCCCTATACGCTTCTATGACTTTGTTGATAACATTACAATAATACGACACTCTGTGGGAAGTGTCAGCCTTTCATTTAGAGTAAGCCTCGCGCTTTTCGTTAAATTCACTCCTCATAGAGATCATGACTGGTTCGCATCTGCAGGCGATTAACCAGACGTTTGAATTGGACTTGATACCAAACGACGCACTTCTCCATCCCTCAGCCGTCTTGCAAGTCCAAGGCGAGCAAAGGAATGAGGGTGCAATACAAAGTAGTCCAGACATACACGCACTGGCCGCCAATGCTTATAAGGGGGATGTCCTTGGAGTTGATGTCAATGGTATGAAAAGGTCCGTTGGATGGGCAAGAATTATGTTTCATAAAGACACGTAAGTTTTTGCATGTGTCTGCACTGACGTATTCTGACGGCGCTTCTCACTGGACTCTGTCGTGTCTTTTGGTGTACTTTTCTGGCTCAGCTCGCAAAATGTCTTTGAAGGCAGCTTCTCCATATGGTAGGGAGATTTATTCCAGTACATTTTACTGACTTCAACTGACCCGGTTTCTAGGGGGGAAATGTATCATATCAAAGAGATAGAAGTATACAAGAAAACGAGACGATCTGTATGTACACAAAGGCGCAACGTAACTGCTGTAGTGGTCTGATAGTAGCGCTCTGGATAGGTTGATGTGAACATTCTACCCCCCGATTCGCGGTCACTGCGACATCAAGCTTCACGTCTGATTTTATTCAAAGACCATGATGAGACGCGATCGCTACAATTTGTACCTGACCAGTGGGGGCTCAATCCCCTCGATGCGTCGTCATGGTTGAGCAAACGGGATGTTCAAGCGGCTAGCACATGTGCATTCGATCCATCCGCAAATGCAGTAGCGCGGCGAGCATATAGCGATTCGCTGGAGAGAAGAGCTGCTGGATTGGTGAAGCGAGCGCCTTCTGGATGCCCTTCCTCTCGGAGAGTGCTGTTTATGGCGGCCGCGGGTGATTGCACCTACGTGAAATTGCATGGCGGGAAGGAAAAAGCATTAACGCAGATACTGCTGAACTGGAACACGGCATCAAGGTACCGTCTCACATTAACTTGATACGTCGCTGAGAGAAGGAACCCTGAGCTTTTACCTTCCGTAATAGCCTCTATGAGAACACCTTTAACATCTCCCTGGGCTTGATACAAGTGATGCTCCAAGAAACCTGTACTCCAAACGACGATCTGCTGAAATGGAATCGGGGTTTGTATCATTTCTTTCAATCAGTCAGGGCACATGGTTGACTATAGTTGAACAGAGTGTAGCGATTTATACTCAATCAATCAAAGATTGAGCGATTTTTCCGAATGGAGGGGAAAAAAAGATCCAGACCAGGCTGGACTATGGCATCTGATGACAAATTGCCCTACCGGTAAGCCATTATCGTATCCACTAGCTGCTCCAAGAAACGAATTCATGTGTCTATTTTAGAGCCATCGGTAGGAGTTGCGTGGCTAGGTACGCAAGTGGGCACTTTGAATGCCGTTGACGAGCATTCTCTTAACGACCATTTTTTCTAGCAATGCTCTGCTCGCAAAAATCCTTTACTCAGCAGTCAAACACCGGCACGCAGTTTGTATCCGGGACCGGGGTATCAGCTGCAGTCAATTTGGAATGGAAAGTGGTGGCTCACGAGATTGGCCACAACTTCGGAGCGAGTCACGACTGTTCATGTATGTTGTTATCCGCTAAATACCATCTCACCGCAAGGCAACTCATTTAGACGTTCGATCACCTATGTAGCCGCTGGACAATGTCCATGCACAGATCCGGAAGTCTGCGGTTGCTGTCCATGTACACCGAGCTGCAATTGCAATGGACAATTCATTATGCATCCTACAGACAGTGCGACTACAGACAAATTTTCTCCATGCAGCGTTGGTCAAATATGCGGCGCTTTTCCGAAATTGGGAACTTGCTTGAAAGGTTGGAGCATGATTTTCTGGTGATTGTGCATCCCTCCCGGTATTCATGCGATATTACAGAACCCGGAGCTTTACAGACAATTACTAGTGGTATATGTGGAAACGGGATAAGAGAAGGTAATTGTGGTATTCATCGCACATTCTTTCCGACTTCCGTAACGCGAATCATGCATTATAGGCAGCGAAGAGTGTGACTGCGGTTCTCCAGATGACTGTGCGCGGGACCCTTGTTGCGGAACTGGTTGCAAGTTGAAGCCCGGGATGCGTTGTTCGGATAAGAACGATGAATGCTGCTCTCAATGTCAATTGAAGACTAATGGCACTGCGTGCCGACCATCAACCGGCGTCTGTGACTTCGCTGAGGTTTGCAATGGTGTAAGCCCAACGTGCCCCAGTGATGTCTTTGCACCGAACGGAAGCCCTTGTACCGTATCGGGCGTGTCTGCTACCTGTGCATCAGGGCAGTGTACGAGCAGGTATGACTTCACTTGGCCTAGGCGTTATTACATATCTCAAGATCTGAAAATGCCCTTGCCTAACAGGGACTTGCAATGTCAAAACCAAGCGTCTTCGTTGGGAACCACATCCGTCTGTCCAGGGCGTGGCTCCGAGTGCCAAATGTTCTGTCAAACACGACAAGGATTATGTCTTCAACTCAATAGTTACTTCATTGATGGAACACCTTGTGGTTTTTCCGGAGGAGGCGTCTGCAAACAAGGCAACTGTGAAGCTGGAAATTTTGGTATGTTTGTTAATGAGGACCACAGAAACAGCGGTCATCATGCTCACAAGGAAATTTGGGTGCCGCAGTGCAACGTGCAGTTGACTGGATCAGTGCCCATCCGCAGATCGCCATACCTCTCCTTGTATTTGGAGGTCTTCTAGTCCTATTCATCCTATTTTCGATATTGAGATGTCTGTGCTGCCCGAATCGGAAGATAAAATCACCCATCACCCGATCGTCCCGATCCCGATCGTCAGGTCGCTCGAGACAGCCGCCACAACTGCAACAACAGATGCCTGCGGGGGGGACCACATGGGTGGATCCCACTCCGTACAATGGACCCCAATTACCTACCGTTCCTTCACCTGCTCAGACCCGACAGGGATCGTATTAACATAATGGCATATGGTTTTTTTGTACATAATAGTGCGATAACCGCGGTAAACGTTAGTATATACAATCCATGTAGACGTAGTCCGTGGTTGTGGAGTGGATAACCTAGTAAGGGAGGTATCCTACCGTTGGGGAACTTGATGGTTAGATATTTTCGTTTTTGTAAATATACTTGTAAGCACTTTTAAAAGTTAAAAATACGCAAAGTTTCGACCGTTAGTCACGCCATGATTACATCAGCTTCCGAGCTCTGTCACAACCGGCCACGAGAGGTGGTGGGAAAGGCACCAAAGGTTCCCCATAACGCAGATCGGCCCGCGAACCCCCATTTAACACGCGAAACTCCTTGTCTTCATACAATCTTATTTCAATAACCGCGCCTTGTATACATGAGCACACTCTCCGAGGGCGTGAGCAATGTCGCGGCGCTGGCTTTCATTGCACTTTGGTGCTTGATGATGGTTTTTTGTGGGGTGGGCACATACTTGATGTACGTACCTCGTCAGACCGAAATATGCCATTCATGTCCATCTTTACTAATAGCACCTATCTAGTCGAGTACGACATTCGAGATCGCCAGCTTCATCACCTCTCACGCCATCCACTACCCCTGGTGTCACTATTCTTCGGCCTTTGAAAGGAGTGGATTGCAACCTCCTGGACAATCTCTCGTCCTCGTTTCGCCAAGATTATCCACTTTATGAACTCATCTTCTCCGTTGCTGACCAAAACGATCCAGCGATTGAAATTGTTAAGGAGTTGATGAGACAATATCCAGAAGTGGATGCAAAGCTGATAATAGGTACAACAATATATTTTGATCCAAGTGATTTTAACCTAACTGTTTTCTGATCAGGTGATGTGGATGTTGGCGTTAATCCAAAAGTCAATAACATGCTGCGGGGATATCAAAATGCAAAATATGATATCATCTGGATTCTCGACAGCAACGTGCACATAAACCCGGGTTGCATGGGTCGTTCGGTATCGGAGCTCATGCACCCTGGAATCGGGTTAGTTCATCACTTACCCTGTGGCGTTAGTCCTCAAACCTACGGCTCTTACTTGGAGCAAGCCTTCCTCAATACCGCCCACGCTAAGATGTACATTACAATAAACAAAGTGGCCCTTGCGAGTTGCGTCATTGGAAAATCGAATATGTTCAGAAAGTCAGTTTTGGCACAATTGGGAGGCCTGGAGAATTACGGTAAATACATGTCCGAAGACAATATCATTGGAGAAGCGATATGGAAGCTGGGACTACGACATCGGATGACTACGGATGTCGCTTATCAAACGTTGGGAGGTCTATCAGTGCCGGATTATTTTAAACGGAGAGCACGCTGGATCCGAATTCGAAAATACACCGTTTTGACGGCGACGCTTCTGGAGCCTTTTACAGAATCGATTCTAAATGGATTCCTGGCGGCATGGGCATTCCATCGGATGTTGCATGTGTCTGCTTCACTGTTCTTACTGGCGCATTTTACGATATGGATAAGTAGCGACTGGATCATTGCAACGACACTTGATACTGCGACCCGAAGAGAAGCCAAGAAGTTTTTAAGAGCGTGGTGTATACGGGAGCTTGCTGCGTTACCATTATGGATCTCTGCTATGGCAGGAAGTACAGTCGAATGGAGGGGAAAGCTATTCTGGTTGAACACGGATGGTACCGTTGCACCTGCATGTCAAGGCAGTCGCGTTAGGTATTGTCGGCGTTTTTTAGAAAGATGGTGGCCAGGGGCCGTCGTTGGAAAGTGGATGGGAAAGGCGTCAGTAGTGAAGGAAGGTTTGGTTGAGGGCGTGAAAGCTGGTATAGTGTCGTCAAGTGCCAACATTAAGGCCACCGAGTTGGCGGACGTCGCGGAGCCGCTCTTAGTTGTAATACCCGGACGACATTGACATTCGTATTTATATTAATACGTATCAATTGTTATTATAGAATAGAATGGCAGCCCTCACGTGGAATCGTAATTTTTCCATGATATTTTAATGATCAAGTAGGCTGTACGATGTAGCGTATAACCAGGGACAATCATACGGTGTGCGCTAAATTACAGTGATGGGGGACTGTATCCCCCTCCAGCCCTTCAGCTGATGAGTTAAAGGACCAGTAGTGGATGCGAGATATCCGCTGCATACAATGTAGAAGTTGCGATCCATCGAATTGGCTACGGATGCCGGTCTTACGCAGAGACAGGTTTCATGGCTTTGAAAGGCTTCAGTGGTAATTTCAGTCCCGGTGTGTATTTGGCAGAGATGTTGACACTTTCAATGAACTTGTTCGCTACACGGCCATCTATTGTCAGATAGTGCGTCTAGCGATAGCGATGGCGTGCTCAGTAGTGCTTACCATCGGTTTTCGGTGGTCGTACGCTGAGAATCGCGGTAAGCAATGCTCGAATATTTTCTGCCAAATAGGTAAGCCATCTGGTTCCAATTGTACCATTCTAGTAAGATGGGCCTACCAAAAACGTCTTCATCTCGCCATGCCGTCTTCAGGGGAGAATACACGATCAGTTTTCATCTTATGCAGCCAAAACGCGTTCAATGCCGATATACCTTGCCAATTTCTGGGGAGAACATTAAGGAGAAAAGAACTCATAAATCATGGTTGCCACGTATCTCTCGTGAAAGCACATTTACGTTCACCGTACCCAAATGAACAAATCCGTCAGCATCCACCTCAAATTTCGACGAGGCGCGCAAAGCACTCATCATTTTCGGAATGTCATCCGATACAGTCCCTGAGAGGGGCAACTGGCTATGAGCACAGTGCTACGGAATGCTTGCAGTTACCATCAACGAGAATACCCTTTGCCGGACTTGGCATCAGGCCCTTAGGACCCAATACCCTCGCAATCTTAACGACTTCAGGAAACATGGCTTTGGTAGAGAGGACCTTATCAAACGCAACTTTGTCCGCTAGGATCTATGACAACCGGGAACAGACTGACATGGTCAACAACAGCACTTGGAGGAAAGGCGTCCGGTTCAGGTCCCACCTCCTCAATGAGCTCTTCCGCACCAACTATATGCGCCCCTAACTTTTTGGCTTCCTCCGCTTGCTCCCCCTATATCAGCATGAGCAAAAAGGTTGCCAAGAGAGCATACGTGGCAAAAACGTGTACAAACTTTTGCAAACACCAAAATGACAGACTTGTCATCCGCAGACACTTGTGTAGGCAAATTCACCTCCCCTCGCACGGTCCTTGTTCCTTCCTGTCTATGGACCTGTATATGCGCAGAAACAACTCTATCCTCGCCAAGGCAATAGGTCTGCACAACATGGGACCTGTCAGTTTGTCATTGGCCGAAATTCAAAAGCACCCACATACACGAAATACTGAAAAAGCTTCCTCAAAAGAAACATCTTCTTGATTCTGCTGTGCTTTCAGTCGCTTCTTTTCTCTCAAGTATCGTTTCCGGTCATAATGGCGGACGGTGCTGACCAGTGTGGGTCCGGGGGGGAAGGGTAAGATTCTAGATGCGCGACTTGCGCATACAGCTGAGTGAGCGGTAGAGGCCGAAGGAAAAGTCAAAAAAGTGCGCTCTACGTTCCGCAAAAGGCGGCCGCACGACTGTGGGATGCTCATATCTGCGATCTATGCTGGTCGAAACCACGTCGTCGATGCTAGCCGGCTCCTTTGCTTGGCTAGTTGCCATAGTTGCATGGCACAGCAACAAATGACTTTGAGCCATCCGTCATGATGGCAAAGGTCATCTCCGGCTGACCCAAAGGGCCAAGATGCAGGAGGTCGCTCTTCCTGACGTTGACTCGATACTCATATCGGCACCGGGCAAAGTTATCCTCTTTGGAGAGCATGCCGTGGTCTATGGAAAGGTTTGACATTGGGCTTCCTTTGGTAGACAAAGGGCGGCGCATGCTCATCAGAACATCAGTCTGCGGTAGCTGCAAGCTTGGGGCTGAGGACGTATGCGTGGATGCGCCCAACTGGGGACCAGACTGTCACCCTACGACTTCCAGATATCTGTTCCTCTGCAATCCAGTGGGATTTGACTGCTTTGTCTGACTTTGTTACGTCGCACAATGGTATGCTGGGAACTGGGTATGACGACCGACAAATTCTGAATACGCCTCGCTTGCAGGCGAAGGTGCAGCTGACACCTTATCATAGTCGTATCGTCCTGTGAACCTACATCGCTCACTGATAACAAGGAAGCGGCTGCTCAACCTCTACTGAAGAGTATTGCCATGGTACCGGGGGCTCGCCAAGCCTCCCTAGCGTTCTTGCATCTATATACATCCCTTTTCAAGGAGTGAGTAGACCTGTCATCAATATTGCATGGCTTCATAAGCCTATTGACGCTGAAGTATCCTATTTTATAGGCCGCAGGGTATCGAAGTCTGCGTCCGCTCTGCGCTACCCGTCGGTGCCGGGCTTGGCTCCTCGGCGTCCTACAGCGTATGCATTGCCGCGGGTCTGCTGGCGCTAAACGGATATGTAAAAATGCCAAAGATGTCAAATACAGCATACGATGCTACTGAATTGAAATTGGTCAATGACTGGGCCTTTGTCTCCGAGAAGGTCATTCACGGCAACCCCTCTGGCGTGGATAATGCGGTTTCCACCTACGGTAATGAAAAACCGACAAGTGCAGAATACGTGGACTACCGTCATCTCTATCTCCATCTAATCTTACTGCGGCAGGTGGTGCCATGCTTTATACGAACGGGAAAATGGAGCCACTCAACGGGTGGGTATTGCCCGCAGAATCTCTGCTACTGTGTTGCATCAATTCGTTGAATACATTCTGTTTCTCCCTTAGCTTTAAGTCTATCCAGTTCATCTTAACGGACACGTGCGTTCCGAAAAACACCAAAGCGCAAGTGGAGAATGTACGAATCCGGAGAGTCCAGGTGCGTGCACGACTGTCATCAATTTCATTTATGGCAACTCTAACTGACGTGCACGTATAGTTTGGTCCAATATTAGATCCTCTCATGGATTCAATGCAGGGAATCAGTAATACATGCAAGGATCTCTTTGGCGCTCTAGGTGTGTGCTCAGTTTCTTTCTATACGTGCAATGCGGCTGTCAATTTCCTTATGTGGCATTTGCGATGGGCAGAGCAGTCTGATATAACGCTTTCGGACGTGCTCACCGGAATGGAGGTGCGACTTTGTTGAGAATGTGCTACGACAACTGTTGATTAAATCGTGTCTCTTCTAGGAACTCGTCGATATGAACCACTGCATTCTGGCGGCATGCGGAGTAAGCCATCCTAGTTTGGAGAGAATTCGCCAATTAACTGCCAGATATGGGCTACGCTCTAAATTAACTGGGGCTGGAGGGGGTGGCTGTGCGTTAACACTTCTGAGGGATGGCAAGTACCATATGTTTTCACATAGTTTGGATGGTTGACAAAGCAACATTGGCGTTCTGACGCTGATCATTTAGACACCGGAGTTGATCTCATTGAGAAGGTCAAATCTGAATTGCGTGCAGAGAGCTTCCGTTGCTTCGAAACCTCGGTCGGCTGTCATGGAGTCCGCTGGGCAAGTTTGCCCCTTGATTCCAAGGATTGGATGGACCATTGGAAGCATTTTGTAGAGAATAGAAATGTTGACTGGAACATATTATCAAATATATAGACTTACGAATAGAAGCCAGTCTATTCCTCTATGAGATCATCGTAAACTCATCAAAGTGCGCGTAGCGCCGGTGGTTGGCTGTTTATATGCGCTGAAAAGAACGACGAGAGTTGCTGTGCAATTGTGAACGAAAAAGTGATTTTCGGCCCAGCGGCTAGTAGCTTCGGCACCAGGCCCTTTCCGAATGCTCGCATCCCTTCTAAGCGAATGATATTTCTTGCAATCGCAAATCCGGATACGCGAGCCTCTGCCGGCGCTGCTTGAACCCTAACCTAATAGATTGTCGGTTTCATATTTTTTCAATAGGAGGTAAACGACTTATACCTTGATCACGTCAAATGGTGATGCGAGAGCTATACTTGCTATGGCTCCGCAAAACGACGCCACCAGCGTTTGCATGAGTGTTGCCTTCTCTTTCCCTTCATTCAAATCATATATGATGTCTTTTGCAGCAGCGGAGGCACCGAAGAGCGCGAAGCAGCCAACCATATTGCGTGCAGCGGTCCACCCTGCCCCACTATACAATTTGCGGAGAGAAGATGGTCGCACGAGAAGGGCCCAGGGGGACGTACCGTGAAGAAGAGATGGATTGGTCTGACCTTTAACCTTCAGTGCGTCGAGTGGCAACAGAACCACCTCGCCCATGCCAATAACGAGGCCCGCGGTGGCTGGAAATAATAATCTATAAGCCTATAGCTGATGTGCAAGCGGCGCAAAAAGACTAATCCAAAGACGTAATGACAAGTCTACGCGACCACGACACTCCTTTCTACCTGCTCACCTTGAACCGCCGTTTGGGCTCTCTTGCGAAATTTGGCTTTGAACCAACTTCCCCATCTCCTTTCCAACCAGTTGACTACAAACGGTTGGCCTCCAAACTGATAGCTCCTCTGCAAGACCTTATAAGTAACCGCATATTGAAAACCCGGAAATAAGGACTTGTACTGCGCAAGAGCACCTCGTTTTGCGGCCTCGCCATAGATCACAGTCCGCAACTTGTCACCCTCCGGTGTCACGACATCTCGGTTATTCATCAAGCGCTTACTTATGGTATCAATGGGATGGAACACTACAAGTTCTGCGAAGCCTGCAAATGCAGACGCCAGTATGCTGGCTGCTCCGGACGGACGGTGATGGGCATCTGTGTGCATGGTCGAGTGCGAAGCGTGCTGAAATGGGCAGTTGTTCAGTCTGACGCGGGTACCGTGCCACATTCCAACCAACAATTCCGCCATACTCAGTACCAGCATGCTCAGATTCACTCGGCGATTGTTCACTACACAAAAAGGCATACGATGTCTGACGCAAAGGTTAAAGAAGGTTCGCTTTACTTTCACAAACATATGCCGTGAACGCTCGTTTTATACAGTTGTGTCCCAGGTCTGGCTTATCTGGCCGACGGAGAGAAAGCTCGCAGTAAGAAGAGTCTTTTTGGCAAACCAAAACCCGATTGGGATGTTGCTGTCCAGAATTATGAAGCTGCAGGTATGGTACGTAAGAGTTTGACCATCTAGTACAAACGATCGGCTATATCTTGCAAGATTGTAGCGAACTGCTTCAGAAACGCGAAATGCTGGGATTACACTGTTGAGGCATATATGAAGGTATGTTCAATTTCCTGGGTCTTCAAGACTTCATCCACCTTACGTGCAGACTCTCCGGGCTTTTTGCGGCGTAGGCAGCTGAAGCCCACAGGAACTTAGACTCGTACGTGCGAGTCAAGCCGCCAGCGCAAATACGGCAGCTGCCAATTAACCGGTTATACTGAATTAGACTATTTCTAGCCGCAAAATCCCTAGAGTTGGCTGCCGCCATTCTGGTGCAGCAACTCAAGAAACCGGATGAAGCGTCTGATCTATATCGCCAAACTAGTCAGTACTTCCTTGCTCAGGGATCGCCTGATCGTGCCGGGGAGGCGCTGGAGAAAGCTGCCAAGTGTGTACCTTCTTTAGCCACGAGTCACGTCGCGATATTGATTCCAGGCTTTTAGGGCTGTTGAAGCAACAGATATCGGAAAGTGTATAGAGTTGTATGATGAGTCTTGCAAAATCTTCGAAGAGGAGAATAAATTACGGTTTGGTGTCGAGACCTTCAAAAGGGCGATTGCTGTTTCTCTGAGACACAGAAGGTGTGTACCCTCTCAATGCATCGTTCTGTGCATCGGTTCACACATGTTCCAGATATGACAAAGCCCTTGAACTGTCACGACGGCTCTGCGACGCATTCACACACCTCGAACAGCGGCCAAACTTCTGTAAACAAGCTCTCAGCACAGTCATTATCTTGCTGGCCATGGGGGACGAAGTGGGCGCCACAAAACAATTGGAGATGTATGGAAGGTGAGCATAAATTAAAAACTGCGATACAGATTTGGTATTCACTATCGTTTAGCATAAATGGCTTCGCTCAAGCTGAAGAGGGGGTTATAGCACAAGGGATATTGGAAGCCATGCAAACGGGAGATGAGGATTCGCTGTCAGCTGCTATGAAGAAGACGCCTGTGCAATTCTTGGACAATGAGGTATGGTTGGAAGATCACCTATACTATACTTGAACATGATCCAATTTCCCATTTTAGGTTACACGCATTGGACGCGAGCTGCGGGTGCCAGGAGGGGCCAAAGGAATATCGCTTCACGACAAGCCCGCATCGGAGGCGGTTAAGCAGTTGCAGGAGGAGGTTGAAGAAGAGGGCTTTCTCTGACACTCCCGACGTGCCGTGCCGCTGGTCATTAACCGTTATCGGGAAGTATGGTTGTGCGGTGCTTGGGCAGATGAATGTGAAAAGACAGAGAGGCGTAGCCTGAAGCACCCGAGTTCAATGCAAGATTAACCAGTACACTACGTTCGCCCAATTGTATTTTGGCTAATCCACTGGATGTATGCGTCATTGCCACCCTCAATCTAAAGTTTCGCATTTAGTGAGTATCTGAACTTATGAGAAGGTCAAAAGAAACATTTCATTTCAAACCTTGGTGGCTATGAGTTCAGGTATCTCATACTTTTATAGAATAACAATGATTCAGGACAGTAATGGAACAGTCCAGAAATCGCAAAAACACCTGCTTACTGGATGCTCTGCCTTCACATACTCGGTAACCTGCGGTACCAGACTTGCCTGAGTCTTCATAATCATTAGAAGTTCACTGTCTTCTTGAACACCGCCATCCCACCAATAACTACTTGTGGTATCCAAGTTAACCGGCGTATTTTATCACTGGCTAAATCCTAAGTCTCACACTGAAGTCACTTTTGGAACGATATTTGCACATGCTATGAGCTTTCGCTCCACAAGACCTGTTACGTCAAGAGATAAGACCTGGAGTCAACCAGATCACAGCATCCGTTAAGGCATCGTTACGGGTACCTCTGCTTATGCTCTTTGCGACCTCCTCATTGGGGACTGTAGAGAGTAATATCACAGGGTGTGTTGAACTAGTAGACATCGAAAGTGACTGCCTTTTGCACACGGGATGTGCAACAAGACTCCAGACGACTGCAAGATGACGGAAAAGCATTTAGGACCTTACCGACAATGCAGATGCGGTGACACGTCGGTACCACGTGTTAGCCAGGCACTTGCAATGCCCTTACAGGCAGTTCCTTTGCCGTGGTTTCCTACTCAGAGATCGTCGTAATGATCACAAGTGACGAGGTCAATTATCTTGTCTATAGATACCTGGCTGAGTCGGGTGAGCACTGGGACCTTCTACTTCCATGTCTGCCCATTATTGATGAATGCTTTCCAGGTTTTACACACTCAGCCTTCGCATTTCAACATGAAAGCGCTCTGTACAAGCGAACTGTAAAAGGTTCCCATGTTCGCCCGGGTTCACTGGTCAACTTATTGCAGAAGGGCCTACAGTATGCTGAGATCGAGTGCCACGTCAATGAGGTAGCCTTTCATCATGTATACCCTGTCTTTGAATCCCTCAGCCGAACATTATGCAGGACGGTACAGAACGGAAGTGTATCGCCCCATTTACACTGCTTGAGCAACATGAATGCGCCTTCGAAGTCAGCGACAAGCAAGAAGGACGTCCCTCGAAAAGAGCTAGAAAGGAGGAAGCCCTGACCAACAAAAAGGATCGAAAGGACGAGCGAAAGCAATCAAAGCCCGAGCGCGAAAAGAAATCTCGCAGAGAGTCACTTGTTGCATCGACCACTTTGGAGACATCCGGTGAGTAGTGGAATACGTAGGGACTCATATTCAGGACTCATCCAACAGATTGCCATTAGATGCAATGGACGTTATTGAAGACGACAACACGAACGCCGACGAATTGCCTGTGTCGATGCTGTCAAGTTCAGAAACTGTATGTCCATTTTTGGGAAACTAGAGGCATGAGAGCGTACCATTTATGGAGCAAGCCACCTGTAGGTTGTTCGATGCTCCTGGAATCCCGGCAAGCCATCATTAATAGCATCTGGGTTTGTACCTTCTTCGCTCTCCCATAAAGGGGGTTTGCTGACCTTTTGATCAGGAGCAAGGATGGAGTAGTGCGACTCTGGCAGGTACCGTCTAATGCGACACAAGATGCTACCCAGAGTGATCGAGTGATGGATTTGCCCATGGGCACCGCTGTTGTTGGCATCAGTATCGGCATATCGGCGCTTGAGTGGGCGGTAAGGCACAGATCATGGGTGATAGGAGCCATTTTTTACCTTTGGTTCTCTAATCTAACCTCATCTGCAGCCGTCGGGTGCTATGTTGGCGGCTGGGACCGTCGATGGTCGCACATTAGTTTGGACTCGGTCAGGTATCATCTTTGGATATTCTGATAATGATAATGAAGGACGCTTGTCAACGTCTTCGAAACTTTGCCAGGAGAGCTTAAATTCTCTGAGAAGCAGCACGAAGGGGCGGTCTTCTCTTTAGCTTGGAATACATGTGGAAGTCTCATTGCGACCGGTAGTCTCGATAAGACCAGCGTAATATGGGACGTCGCTAGTGGCCAAGTCCGGCAGAGATTTGATTTCCATGAAGGTATCATTGCTGATGCACATTCTTGCAACCGACGACGAATGACGAACTGCTGCTCTCAGGACCTGTCCTCTCTGCGGACTGGGTAGATGATGTCACTTTCGCGACATCGTCGTCAGACAGTCAGATATATGTATGCCGCTTGGGAGATATAGAACCGTTGAAGCAATTTTCCCATAAGGTATGCTGGTGATATAGTCCCATGTCGGATTTTCGGGCCCTTGAATTTTAGATGTTCCTTAGAGCGATGTGAATAAAGTTCTATGGGATCCTTCAAGAAAGTATCTTGCCTCTTGCTCTGACGACGGTACCGCCAAAATCTGGACGATGGACTCTAATGAAGCTCTCTGGGTCGCAAAGGGCCATGAGAAGGAAATCGTGACTTGCCAGTGGTGTCCCAATTCTGACCAATTAGTGTTGGCAACGTGAGTACGCAACTGGACATGAATCGCCCCTGGGTGAGACTCTCTGACTCACGAATCTATAGAGCTGGTTTTGACCGAACAGTTCGATTGTGGGATGTTGCTAAGCAAGAGTGCCTGCACACTTTCCGTAACCACAACTCTGAGATCTTATCCGCTGACTTCAATCCTGATGCCTCATTACTTGCCAGTGCCTCCAGTGATGGTGTAGTAAATATATGGTCGCTACAGGTAAGAATCGCCGCAAAGCGCTTGTCAATAGATACTGAGACTCACACGCCACCTTTGTGTGCCTTCAACGCAGGATTGGTCTTTGGTCAAGCAATATCATGGGGACAAGGGCGAAGATGTGGATGTTCAAGCAAAATGGAATACCTTGGGAAATAAACTAGCGCTGATCTGCGGAAATCGTGCGGTAACTGAGCCTTTGTGGCACATGCCTCAGCAGTTACGGCAAGGCCTAACATTATCATGCAGGTCGCGATTCTCCATTTACCTCAAATTGTATAGCAGAACTAAATTACGTACATCTTTCCATATCCATTGAGCTGTCTATACCCGCCTGCACCCTCGTTATTCTACCCCGTTAATCTGATCAGGACGCACCCAAAATCTGGCATGCATAGGGTTTGTCGCGGAACCAAAGATAATTCCTTCCAGAGCTTTGTTTGCCTCGAGCGGATCAGTTGGTAAGCTAGCAGAGGCACTGTGAGTCACGAATGGGAAAAAGCGGGAAAAGCAATTTGCAAAGGAGATTGCTCACTCAGAAGACCGGAACTCCCACATGTCACCGTTTCGGCGGAAAAATCTAGGTTCCCATGTGATATTTTTGGTTGCCCTATCCTTGACGATAGTGCGCTGATTGTCCTCGATCGCGCTTTTCTCAGTGGTGGCATAATCCAGGTTTTTCGTTACCAAGCCCTTGGTGACTTTTGACCAAAGTCTTCCGAATATATCTATGAGTGTCAACCTGGCTCACAGTGGAAGGATCTCCAATAGGAACGCTAGCTCACCTTCGAGACTCGAATTCCTCCTGCTCGGCTTCCGCTGCAACAACTTTTGGGTATATCTTTGCACTGTGGGCATCGAAAATTGGTATTTTGTCGGAAGTGGTTCCTTTGGATAGGTACATGACGTCCGTCCACTTCCCACCCAGAGTATATAGGACTTCTCCAGAGGATTCACGCTTCACCTTGCCTTTTATGCCATTATAAGTGCCCGTGAAGAACCCCTATTATGGCTGACAGTTAGCGCAGTCGCAGCCATACTTTCCATGGGCATTGGTCATACCTTCGTTTGAAACTCGATTTCCGCGATTAGATCATTTTTTGGGCATTTGATGGTCACCGTATCTCCCAGCTCAAGGTACATGGTGCCGAACAGTATGCCTCTGGCATATATATTAGGGAGAGTCACCATATACTCTTCACCAGGCCACCTCTTTGGAAAAGTAATCGTAGAAGTTCCTTGCATAATAGTGGCAGCAGAATTTCCGAGGAACTTCGACTTCGGTCGTATATCACCCAAAATCCAAACGTCCTTTTGGGGATTTGCATAGAAATAGGCAGAAATTGGAGGATGGTGTGAAACTTGTTCGCACACGTAGAAAGATTCTGAGTCATCGTCGAACTTCCAGCGACACCGAAATATTTCACCCAAAACAGGATTGTATGGTTTCTTTACACCCTATGATTTCCGGCACTGTCAGCTTGGTTAAATTGAAAGCTGCAATCTCTGGGACTTGTTGCACCTTCGGTTTTATATGCCAACCAGATAGAAAATATGTCACGACATCAAGAAATCGGTCCGTAGGATCCATTTTTTGAGGAGTGCTAAGGGTTGTCATTAGCTCTTTCTGCTTCCTCTTTCCCAACACTTGGTTGTTCGGTTGGAGCGTCCTTACTTAAGAATGAGCTCCGGATGGCTCATGAAGTCCGTTATCCGCTCGCACATACTTCGTGGCTCCAGCACAAAAGTTGGCAGAGTAACTCGGGACAGATCCATTCCCTTGCGTAGTTGACCAATGATTCCCAATAGTATGCTTTTTGGTTCGTCTTCAAGAACCTCCTGTTCGACATCCGACCCCACAGCAACGTTCTCCTCAGAGTCACCCATCATAAAGACACGCGGTTGAATGCTGTGGGAAAGGATTCGGGTAGCCGACGTAAATATCGCACTCTGACTCGACTACTGATGTGTTCCGTGCTGGATATGGGACGGATGGAGATCTCCGCGCGTACAGGTCGGGTGTCAGCCGAATGAATGCCACAACTTGTTACCATCACGTGTTACAACCATCCCTAAGCCACCTCGGGTCCATTTGGCTGCATCTGTTTTTCCCTCGAGATAGTCACCGCCTTCATTACGCGACAATACGCAAACGGGCCCCAATTTTACAGCGTTCCAGCCGACCCCCATAATTACTAACAGGTTTGCTCCCCCACAAAACGACGTGATTGGTCTTGTTTGAACATAGTATCGGCGGGGAGGAGTTGTGGCTGATACTACAGTAGTCTGTTTAGCTATTGGTTTATTCCGGTCTGCTCTCGTTTCCTTGTAGTGTATCCCTATCACTTCATTCAGATGTAGGAAATCTCTTCTTTTTATATTTCTCCTTATTCATTTGACTGCTCGAAGGCAACATACCTTACATGAGTCATCCCCCCTTTTTGCGAAAATAGATTGTGTTAATTACGGCGATTAGCTGGTAAAAGTGGTCTCTACACTTAAAGTTACATGATGCGACGACATTTATGGTTAAAGCTAGACACCACGCATTGCCACACATCCAACATTCAAATGTCACGTCAACAGTCCCAATGTTGCTTAAAGTATGCCCTCAGAAGTTGAATGATCAAATGAATGTTTAATCCAAAAGTATAATGGTGAAGGCAAAGTATGATCTGGAAGAGCCCCAGGGAAATACGATTCGCAACGCTTAGAGCGTAAATGCGGAATACAGAAAGAACGGCCCTTCTTAAAGACAAAATCGCCAGATCCACATGCCCAGCCGGTCACTGCCATGCGATCAAGAGTCCTCCTCCCCATCTACCGCCTTTGGCCGCTTAGCTTCTGGCGAGTACCTAGGATCGCTATGATCCTTCTCATACGGTCGTTTCCCAGATACCTGCTCCGTGCCTTTTGCCATATCACCCGGCTCTGAACGTTCAACTAAGGAAGAGCCATAATGTGGTGATGCAGGGTTGTCCGGTGACTCATGGTCCACGGCACTATCAGTGTTCCCATACGACGCTAGCGCGGCTAGACCATCAGGCGGTGGTACGGCACTGCTTGGACTTCCATGGTGACTCTGACTCCTTCCATGCTCAGTACCATCATTGTCAATTGTGACCTCACGTGTGGCTTCGATCCCTTTCACAACATAGTCTTTCTCGGTCTCCAATGGTACCATGGACGCTCGATCTCTACTACCATCTTTGCTATTGTCATCTCTCCTCACTTGGATTTGAGCATCGCGTTCTCTGCGGTCCTCCCCTCGTTCATTCAATTGACTAACCGACATTCGATCGGGTTGCATTCTGCGGTTTTCTCCTCCGGCTTTGTCCGCCTTCATTGGTGCTGCCAAAATCCTCTCCGTCGGCGTCTCTCGATTTGCTACGCGATCCTGTGATGGTCGGGTCGCGTCACTTGTATTTGTCATGTTGACCCTTTCGGCCTGCTTGGAAACCTCTAAATCGACGGTTGGACTAGACGCTTTCGTAGGTACGTCCTTTGATGATTCAAACCCATGCAAACCACGAGTGACTGGCTCAGAATCCCGCAATCGGACTTTGCTCTCCGTGTTCATGTCCCGTTGATACGCGCTTCTACTTTGCTCATCTCCTACAGGAGGACTTCGGCTTTTGGCATGACACGTCCGTTGCCATGTGGACGATTCCGATGAGAAATTCGATTGGACGAGCTTTTCCTGTGGCTGCTTGAGAGCGGTCTCAGAGGCGCGAATTTCTGTTGTAGGTTCTGTGAAGCCAGATGGTCGCTCCACCGAGTACGATCTGCGATCAGTGCGGTTTCTGATTGCTTCAGACTCCAGAGGGTTAATTGGTACATCTTGCTGACGTGATGTATCATCCAGCTTTGCGTGAGGGGATAACTCCATTGGGCGCAAAAGATGCGTATGATCTGATGGTCTTATTTGCATTTCCGGTAGACGTGAGAGTGACTCGACATTTCTCGAACCTATATCCGGTAATCGTGGCGGATCCGCTATGTGACGGGCGTTATCAGAGTGGCTTGCAGATGGTGATTCAAAATGCCTATTTGTTGACTGATCGGCCAATCTGCCCGGAATATCGCTGGGCCTGGGAGAAGTATCCATGTGGCGTGATGGGAGCTCAGGTGGTCTACCAAGTGGCTCGGATGGCCTACCGGATCTCTGGAGTGCGTCTGGAGGCAGATGGGAACAGTGAGACGGTTTGTACCCAGATTACGTGCTGGCCATTCCAAGTCAATCCGGCCTTTCGCAATCACGGCCACTTACCGTCACTGGAAGGATATGGGACGGACGAAGATTGTAAGGCGTCATGTGCGAGCGTACGGGAACCCTGACGCGGATGAGACGGACCCCTTCGGTCGGTCTGCGGCTTAGGGGACGTTGTCCTGTCCGGACGAGATTGCTTGTTGCGACCTGCTCGAGATGGGTGATCGGCCGATGCTGGAGGAAGCTGGCGATCAGCAACAAGTCCATTACGGCCTTCATCCCTCTGGGACATGGGCTGAGCGGGGTATGATGCGGGTGGATTCATCTGCAAAGACGGCAGATCCCTTCGGTCGTGTTCCTTCATTTTAAATCATAATTAGCATACGTACGTCAACCACAGAAAGCACTTGATCACACCGTTTGAAGTGGCACAGAGGTGTGCGTAGATCTCTGGTCTTGCTGGGAGCTTCGGGGGTAGCCCATTTGAGTCGGTGGTTGTGGTCCCTACGTGAGAAGTGTGCATCACGTCTTGCCGCATAGATCAATCATATACCGTAACAGGAGTAGTTACCTGATAGAAATGACTGGGTGCATTCGGGTGTATCGCATTTCCGCCTGGGTACCCTGTTGCGTTGATATCCTGCGGTGCAGGTTGTTGGGGTTGCGCAGCACCTGCTTGCACTTGACTATTTTTGGATTCAATCAATGCATGGCGCAACCTATGCATATGAGGTGCTGTTGCTCACCCGCCACCCGCCTGTGCATTGCGGAGCATTTGAAGCCTTTGTTTAATGTGGGGGTTGGTCGGATCCAACTCGAGTGCTCGCGTATATGCGTCCAACGCATCATTGATCTGATTGTTGCAAGATTCGTATAGGGTTCCGAGGTCATACCTTAGTAAGGAAGGTAAGATGATCTCGTTATCTTGTACAGTATGTCTTACTTGCGACATTACCAGACTTCACTGATATATGGGTTAAGTCGAATGGCGCGACTATATGCGTCCAAGGCATCGCGATACTACATCACCCAGTTAACAAGATGAGCCTCAGGACTATACAGGCTACGTGATCAATGAACCAACCTGATTTATCTGATAATACAAGACTCCAATGGAGCACCAGAATGTAGGATTGCGCCCATCCCGGTACCTATAGACGATTTTTAGTTTGGTCACAAGATACGCGCAATACATCATACGTACACAGCTTGCTGATACGCTTCATAAGCCTTGTTGTATTTCTGTTGCGCCATATAACAGCGTCCCAGAAGATACCATGTCTGCGCGTCGTTCATATCTAGAATTCCAAGATTGATAAAGGAGTACCGCAACAAATTCGTAAGGCTAGAACTATACCAGCTTCGAGGGAACGAGTAAGGTACTGTATTGCAAGCTCCTGGTTGGAAAAGCTCGAATTCTGCTGATGATAGAGCCATCCCAGCTGCTGTAAAACCTTGGCATGGTTAGGATTCTCTGATAGAACACGTTCGTAGGCATCCCGAGCAAGTTGATACTATGAAACAAGGACCATTCCATACTTAAGCCATGCCTTTCGAAGAGTCAGGATCGAAATGACGTCGATTTAGCTACCTCTTTCTGCTGCTCGTACACGTGGCCGATTTGGAACCAGATGTCAATTTCGGTCAGCGGCTTCGGAGGGCAGGCCAAAATATAGCGAAAGCACTGCCAATACACTGTCAAGACCACTTTCCTGAAGACTTTACCCTCGAAGCTGCCACTCACACTTAAACTTGTCTCATATTTGCCTTGCTGCTTATAAATTATACCCAATCGAAAATAGATTTCGTTTGCCTTTTCAAATTTAGGTTCCATTCTTATTACAGCAGAAAACGCTTCCTCCGCATGTTCATAAGATCCGTATCGATCGTAAAGAATCCCAATTCCGTACCACAACTTCGGTTCCTAAAGTCAACAGTCTAGTTAAGCTGCTGGAAACAATCGAATGCCGTATGTCGTCCCACCTTGGGATTTGGGAGATGATACAGTGCCTGCTGATAAGCCGTGTAGGCCCGCTGCAAGTCGTCCATCATCAAAAAGCAGTGGCCTAGAGCTCCCCATATCTCGCCGTTCGTTTGATCGATGTTCAGTATTCGTTGAAAATAGTCAACCGCCTGGAAGAGAAATTAGACTTGGTTATGCGTAGATACATTTGCATTACATAGCAGTACTTCGTACTCCACCTTTGAATATTGCTCACGCGCTCTGCAAAGAGCAGCGGCTTGTGTCAAAGCTTGCACAGAATGAGGGTTGTGACGAAGGGCTGATTCATAAGCGTTCATCGCGCGTTCTGGCTCATTCATACTTTCTGCCAGCGTTCCTATGCGCGATGAGCGGAATCATATAAATACAGCTCGGTCAGTCTAGGCATAAGCGGCCTAGTTCTTCAACCTAGCGCCTCGGGGTCGCGATCAGCTGAGAAGGATCGATCTCGCTACATACCTACTTGGAGCCAGGTTGACTCGTTCAGCTGGGTTAGCTTTTGAGTTGCGGACATGGCGGCAGCCGGGGCCGCCATTGGGCTTAGAATATGGGTCTGTAGATCAGCTGCTATGGGACAGATGCCAGGCGATGTGAGAAACGTATTTGTCCAAAGTGGTACAAGTTGCACCCCCAACAAATTGTTTCCAAGTCACGTGTCATTGGCTTTGGCCCTTTTATAAGTACTTTATTCAGAAGTTATATATTATTTACAACGGCTTCCCTTGTTCTGTTGTGCTCACAGGTAGACCGTTTTGTTTCATTTCAGAATCGGATGACACGCCTCCGGGTCGCAAGAAGGGGGTCGCACACTCTGTTGACCCTATTAGATTCGAAGAAAGAGGGGGTCCCGGTTGCTGGGCGGGCACAAGCGATACAGGCGCTGGAAAGCTTTCAACGGCTGCCGGCCCTGGTCGCGGCTTATATCCAGCAGCTAGACTCGCTAGAAATGCAGCGGCGGACGCGGTATCTGTCCCGGACGTTGCAACACTAGCAGTAATGGCCTTGTGCGCGGGAGGGGCTACACCAGATGGGAGCACCGCGGTAGCAGAATAGGGTTGATAGTAAGCTGGTGATGCGGGATGCGGGAGGGCCATTGACTCTAGTGAGGGGTGAAGGGCAGTGTTGACGAATGGTGTCACAGAGGAAGGTGCTTCGTCGGGACCAGGTCCCGCGGCCGTCCGTGCAACAACCCCTTTTGGAGAATGCACGTAGTTTGATATCCAATTTGGATGACCTGCCATTGCCGACGTTTTTGCACGGTTGTGTCCCACCGAACTCGCCACACCATTGCCTATAGACCCAATTGGATTGCCTCGACCGGCTTGTGGACCAACCTCATGAATATCGCTTCCTCGGCTCGAAATTCCTGCGTTGTGCGATACAACTCGCGCTCTCTCTTGGTTTCCGTGGCGCGCACATCTATTGCAGACATAGTCCAGTGCTTCCCACTTCTGAATGTCTACATCATCTGCTTTGGCACCAGGGGCTTGCGCAAGACATCCAATGTGCTGCCAAACGCCACATTTTCCACAGGCAATCATCGGAGTTCCATCTAAACGGCACTTCAGCGTAAGTGAACGGTGTCGTACAACATCGAAAGTGCAGCACCAACCGTCAAGATTGTCTCCATGAACGCCGCAGACACAATCAAAATACCATCGCTCTTCGAATTCATCGTGCCTTTTCCTCTTGCGGCGGGTTGCTGGTTGAGACGTGGTTTGCTCTCGCGCACACGCGTCCTCGTCCGACGGATTTATAACATGGCCTTTGTCTTCACGCAATCCATGCAAGCGTGCCTCTCGCTCCATAATACGTTGCTCGCGTGCTTCAATTCTTCGTTGCCTCTCCTACCCAAGCAAATGATCAGATTTCCCATCCTAAGGTTGGCTCATTTGGAATGCGCAATTAGCTTCGAACATACTAGTTCTTCTCGCTGCTTTCTGTCTAGCTGGCTCCTTCGCGATCTTTCTTGCTCCCGTTGCTCCCGTATAAGCTGCTCCTGCCTTTCTTGTTCCATTTTCTCTAACTCTCTGACTTGTAATCGTGATGATCTTTTGCGATTGTTCATTGCTTCCTGTACACGTCTCTGCTTTTCCTTATTCTAATTCCAATCAATGAGCCTCCACAAAATGTGACACAAACGAGCAAAACTGTATACCTCGAGATCCGCAAGCACTTTCGGAAGCGCATCTTCTATTAGGAACAGATAGAACTCTTTTTCCACGGCGCTTCTAGACTTCTTGAATCTTTCTGGGAATGATTGCCACTCCTCCATGCTTGAACATATCTATTCAAACGGGCAGCTGGATTTTAGTTTTAGATTTGCGAAGACCTAAACAACATCGTGAAATATTACCAACTCCCAAGGTAAGTCATTCTTATTACCCGATTTCAATTTCCCTTTCTTTTGATTACGAGATTTACCAATAGTGGGTGCTGGTGCTTCCTTATAAAGCCTATTGTCTGTTAAAATAAGCGTCAATATGAAGAATACGCAGCGTAGCCAATGGCACATCCTGAAAGAGCAGCTACCATCAAAAAGCCAGTACACGTTCCCTTTCGCGTCAGAGCCAACATGCTCTACGCGCTGTAATATGCCGGTGTGAGAATACATTCAGATGACTTGATATCAACTGCAACATACCCATTCCGTCTCTTCTTCAGTATTAAGCGATGCTCGGAATCTCTCGGCGTTATCGAACTGTCGCTCGCACAAAGAGTGGAGAACGAGAACCTGGATGAATTTCGAGCGTATGTTGATTACCGAAATCCATCTCCGTGATGCCACATGTAAACAGACCTTGCTACGCAACGGAAGGTCAACATAGTCGACCCCCTGGGCAAAGATGTCGCTGTGAGCGTGGGTCTTTGCAAATTCCTTTTGTAAATATGTCTGCCAATTCTCAGTACTATAAAAGGGTGAGATACCTTCTTGTCGAAACTCGAATGGTGTACACACTACCTGATTTGCCGTGCTGCCAATGGACCGACTAAGGATTTCAGTAGCCTGACGTGCAAATCGATGAGTTTTTCCTCGACTGGACATGTAGTCAGATGAATTTCAAGCTCCTATACAATTGGTTAGTGATTCTTCCAGTGCCATTTTAGCTGAGGCAAGCTCCCTCCATACATCGCTGCTAAATTCCGACAGACGCAGCGCGTGGTGAAACAAGTGCAAAAATTGACAGACTGCCGCAAATTCCCAGTATTGACGAAGCTCCTGTAGCGCACCTATTGATGAAAAAAACAGAGAAAGCCGGAAATTGAATATCACTGGCATACATCGAATGTGAACTGATAAAACTAGTGCTCTGCGTTACATGAGCGGTAGAGATTTGCGCTGTATACCTTCACCGTCTGGCATGGTGGGTACTCTTAAAGGATTATACTCGGCACTGATATTGAACTGAAGGTGTCAGGACTGCAACTGATCCTCTTCCAATGGCAGGCAGATCGCGGCAACACGTCGGTAGGAGAACCTCATATTCTTCAATCTCACGTGACTACAAGACCAGCATTACATAATCTAGGCTCCGATTGGGACCATGTCTCTCGGTCTCCCACTCCACCACAAGAGCGCAAGATGGAACCAGTAGAGATCCTCTCTGAGAATCAAATAACGCCGCAAAATCAACACCCCAACCATAACACCTACTTCCTTCCCCGCGTGCTGAATACATCCCATGAAGCATCTGCTCGGAGAGTCGAAACGCACCATCACAAAGCCCCACCCTCCTTCAAGTGTCGAGCTTCCAGTGATGAATCCCCTGCTACTATCCGTTCAATTGTCAAGCCACAGCACGGCTTTGTGCCCTCAAATCTGGCAGCTGTCCAGACTTTGCTTCGTGAGAAGGACGCTGAAGTAGTAAGGCTCAAGCATGAAAATGCCCTACTGAAACAGGTAAAGATGGTGGTGAACCTGGTAACTCTAGGTCATTTGTGCTTACTAGCATGCACGCTAATGCAAAGTGCCCATGGATGGAAAGATAGAACGTCGACAGCAGAAGGAGATTGAACAGCTGGAATGGCAGAGTGAGGAGCGAGTTATTAGAGCACTGCGTGAGGAGCTTGCTGGACTGAGAGTATGTTCCCGAGCACCATATGACCAACTTTGCACTCACGAACCAATTCATAACGTCTTAAATGCATCTCCGTTGTGCAGCACAAGCTGAAGATCTACTTTACTCAGCTCTCTGCAAATGCGCGTGAAATTCGGCATATCAGCGAGGATAGGCGACGCCTTAGAGATCAAAACATCCGTCTTGAAGCGCTTATTGCCGATAGAAATCTTGGGGAACGCGAGAAATTAAGCAGAGAAGTAGACTCATTGAATCGGAGATTAGTTGAACAGGAAAGGATTGCCGCGGTAAGTTTCCATTGGAAAACCAGTATTTTACACCGTCTGATGGCTCTCTCCAGGATGCAGTGAAGAGAGCTGAGCTGATTGAAAAAAACCTGACAATAGACAATCGCCATCTACGGTCTCGGGTGTACTCTCTTGAGAAAGACAACTCAGAATACGGGGAAAGGAACCATCACCTTGAAGAAGCTGTCAAGGTATATGTGTGCGGGTGTAGAACGGCTTTGTAGTAATTTTCTCACATTGTGACGTTCAATTTCAGGACAAGGAAAAAGAGATCTCGTCTCTTTATATTTACCGGTACAACGCTGTTCATAGGAAGCCTGAAAGTAACGTCTGTAAGGCTTGTCAACATCGAGAAAAGGAGGTACAAGACTCTCAGCGAAAGGCACTCATAGCCAGTAAGGAAGCTCAGATTGTTTATTATTTCACGTATTTGGAACGTTGACGGTAACATAATAGCAAAGCTACCAAAACTGCAACCACCTAAGGTAGTGCCAGTATCTGCAACATCAGTCGATATATCCTACTCTATTCCTGAAGAGGCAGCGGGGGGCGATGGAGACCCTGTATTCTCTAGGCTCGTGCTACGGTATTCAACGGATTCTGCCATGATCAATGGCGTTTGTACTGTGGATATCATGCACCCGCAGGACGGTTATAGCAAGGCCATGCATTCGGAGCTTAATCCAACAGAGACCACATGTGTCTTTGCAGATGATGCGACGGCCTCTCGTGACTGCTTGCCATCTGCTGTGCGAACATTCCGGCTAGAGGGGTTATTAAGTGGAACCATATACTTCTTCCAACTGGCTGCGGGACACCAGGATGTGGAGGGGGTACCAACTCCGCCAACCTATGCTGTACTGAGTGAGTGTGATCAATCAAAATGATCTTACCGTTAGAAATGCTGGCTGATGCTGATACCACTACCTCCGTAGAGAGACCTGAAATCCCTCAAAAGGAAAGTTTGCCTGCAAGCCCAGGGAGCTCCACACCCCCAGTACCATTCAATCTGCGAGTCCAGATACTTGGAACCTCGGCGCTTCTGGTATCATTTACGTGTCCGCGAGGGAAAAATTTAAAAATACACACATACGGGATTACGATCATCAAAACACCTCTTCGCAAGGTGGGAGACAGCTCGGCTCCGATCTTAAGTCGTCTAGAGATACCATGTGATGATGGGCCAGATGATGTCGTCTCGTACACGTATAACAAAGCCGACACGAATTGCATATACATATTCCAGGTGCAGGCCGCCAACGAAACTGGATGGTCGAGAAATAGCGAGCCCAGCGCTCCAGTTGTTATTGGTTAGTTGTAAAGCATTGTGATTTTTCTCGAGAGTCACCCTCACATGGCATCCAGGCGGATCAGATGAAGATAAACATGACGGCCCACTCATTGTGCCCCCTGTGGAATCAGCCTTATCACTTGCAGGTACATCAGACAGTATATCGGTTAGGTCATGCGGGCCTTACACAAATTTTTTTCGATAGTGGGGATTCCGCTACCACCGTCACCACTGCCACCGGCTGTATTTGATGTGCCTGTCGAAAATATGCCTGTTGAAGACAAGCACCTACCATACCCCGACCCTGTTCCCGAGACAGCCACAGATCACTCATCACAAGAAGAGGTCTCTCCACTAAAGTCTAGGACAACATCTAATCTTACTCTGAACCAGAAGATTGAAAATATGCATATGGGAATGCCTGCCTATTATGACCCCTTGGTAACTGACATGGCAAAATAAAGTGGTCACCACATGTGGTATATGAATTGGTAGGGCAATAGGAGATATGGACATTCATATAAATACCACTAAAGTAACTCAGCCTACCTGGTAACAGCTCCTGGGTAATTATATTGTATTATAATAATACTGCACACTTGAGCTGGGTAGCCAGCCAGCTAGGAGGCATGCTACAGTGTGATCCAGCATGCAGACTATCTCTAGGTAGCTTAAAGGAGCTGTATTACTGAAAGAAAAATACAGGGCAGATTATAAATAATACTAAATTAATTGTAGCCTCTAATTAGTTAAATACTGAGTATCACTTTTTCAGTATAGTCCAAATTTGAAGCCAGAAGACCTATAGTTAAACCTTACCAGTAGTAGTTGGAGGCTCTGTTTGCAACTAAGTAACCCTATTTTCCTATATAATATTCTATACTTAAAACCTAAAACACCTGGACTTTAAGTTTTAAGCCCTTTAGAAGTTGGCCCCATTAGGTTGCCTATTATTACAATAGATAACCCAGTTTTGCCAGTATCTTGTACAACCACCTACTATACTATTTTCTGTTGGGGAAAGTTGAGAAATAGGTGTTATCCTACAACTAGACTGGGTGCACCTGAGAGGTGGAGAAAAAATGGGGTCCTAAGTATAGTACAGATCACATGATGACAACCTGACTTCAACCTCTAATTTTGGGTGCATAAAGCAACTAACTAAGAAAGTGTTTTGATGAATTCCAACACTTCCCCTTGCCCAAAATTCCATTCTATTCTTAGGCTCTTTTGTTTGTCACGTTGTCCAGTGATTGAATGCCAAGTTCTGCACAACACTGGGTGAACCTCGGTGCAGGAATGGCCTTGGTAAGAACATCTGCAGTCATCTGTTGAGTGGGGCATCTTCAAACTGAAATCTCACCACTCTGGATGTGTTCCCTGAGGAAATGATAGTGTATATCAATATGCTTCATCCATTGTGAAATCAGGGTGTTCTTTGCCAGTTCCATCACACCATTGTTATCCATTTTGAGCACAGTAGGGCCTTGTTTGACTTCCAAAAACCTGAGCTCTGCTAAGAGGTTTCTCATCCAAATAACCTCTTGTGCACAATCTGATGCTGCAATATACTCTGTCTCAACTGTGGAGAGTGCTATGCATCTCTGCTTTGAAGATTTCCAAGCAATAGCATGACCTGATAGCTTGAGAAGCCATCCTGAGGTTGACTTCCTATCTGAGAGGTCTCCACCCCAATCTGCATCAGAATAGGTCACTGTTTTGCTGATAAACAAGCCCGTAGCTTGCTGTCTTTTGCAGGTACCAAAATATCCTCTTTATGCCTGTCCAGTGCATGTTTCCAGGTGCCTCACAGTGCCTAGCAAGTATCCCAACTGCTGTACTGATGTCAGGCCTAGAGGCAATTGCAGCAAACATCAAGCCACCTATTGCACTGTGGTACTTCAATTTATCTACCATGGGTTGCCTTGACCCAAGAGCCTCAAATTGAACAGAGGTATCCAGTGGGGTTGACACTGGGTTTGAGTTTTCCATCTTGAATCTTCTGAGCACTTCACCAATCTAATGTGCTTGATCCAGGGAAAGAGTGCTGCACAGTTCATCTCTGATTACCCTTAAACCCAAGATATGGTGGGTAGGGCCAAGATCCTGCATCTTAAATTGTGCTGATAATGTTGTTTTGACCCAATTCATGTCCTCTTTTGACTTGGTTGCAATAACCAGATCATTGACATAAACTGCCAGTATGATGAGCCATTTGTTTATGTTTGTGCACTCATCTTTCTCATGTGGTTTGGCTTTCTGGAACTCTTCCCCTTGCCAAATATAAACACAAGGCTCATGTGCCAGCTGTTTAAAGCTGTTTTCGAGGAGGTAGGTATTGAAACTTAGCGCTTGGAACACTGATTTCCCGTGTAGAAATCACTTCTGAAAGGCCTAGTAATGCCTGTGGCCACTAGTAAGACTTCTGGGTGCAGTAACTTGTGGGATAACATGCTTGTATTAATCCAGAGACGTGCAAAAGTCCCCTTTATATAACCCAGTACATTCTCCAGCCTCCCTCCGCCTTTGTTTACTGTTTACATGCTTCAGTCCACTTGTTTACATGCTCAGCCGTGCTCAGCAATGCTCAGCAGCTTCAGCCATGCCTTGGCAAACATTACCTGAAGATCTAGATCATCACAAACCTTCCAGACCTTCTATGAGTGCTTACATGATGATTTACCCCTTTAAATCATTCCCACACGTGTCTGTGATCATTCTGATTACTCTAAGTCCAATTCCCCACGTTGTAACTTAGCCAGATCAGATGTGAACTGTCTAATGACATTTCAGCATGATCTCACATGATTTATAGATCATACAGTGTGGTTTAAGCCTGAATCTCAACACTAATGACATCCGAGCATGATCTCACATGATTTATAGATCATACAGCATGGTTTAAGCCTGAATCTCAACAGCAGGAAACAGAGAAGGGGAGCTTTACAAGTTTGCTGCTTACCCTGGCAGCATGAGCTGTGACTCCCAAGTAATGGGAGCTGAAGTACAGCATGAAGACCAAGCTTTGGGTCGCCCTGAGAAGCAGGACAGTGGGAAACTGAAGCTGTGGCATCGGCAGTTAGGCCATTTAAGTTATGGCAATTTGAAGATGCTCACCAGTATGGTTGATAGTCTTAATTTTGATGGCAAAGCAGTGGTTGAAGACCAGCTTTGTGATGGATGTCAGAAGGGTAAACAAATGCAATTGCCCTTTCCTGAATTACCCAAGAAGAGTTACCAGCTTTTGGAGGTCATATGTAGCAACATATGTCAACCAATATGCACCAAATCACTTGGTGGAGCCAGATATGTGCTCACATTCTTGGATCTTGGAAGCAGATACAGCAAATGCTTCTATCTTGACTTGAAATCAGTGACATTGTGCCTAGAAAAGTTCAAGGAATTTAAGGCCTGGATCAAGAATCTGACTGAAAGGATGATCAAGGCATTCAGAACTGATGGCAGCAGTGAGTTTGTGAACCACCAGTTTGATGCCTACCTCAAATCTGAGGGCATCACCCACCAAACTATGATGCACTATACTCCCCAGCAGAATGGAGCTGCTGAGAGATTGAACAGGACTCTGGAGGATAAGGTTCGGTCTATTCTGCACGAGAATAACCTCCCCCAGAAGCTGTGGGCAGAAGTCTGGGAATCTGCCAATTATTTGAGGAATTTGAGCCCGACCAAGGTGCTGCTGGAGAGGAAGATTACCCCCTCTGAGGCCTTGACAGGGGCACACCCTAATGTAGACCATCTGAGAGCAATTGGATGCATTGCCTACATGCAAATACTGAAGCCACTACGAGGGAAACTGGATCCCACATCAGCAAAGTTGATTCTGGTTGGTTATGGGCAAAATTCATGATGTTATTGACTGTGGAATCCCCAGAATGACACTATGTTGGAGTCTAGGGATGTGGCATTTGATGAGGCAGTTAAAGGGCAATCTGATGCATGCTCTGAACTGATGGGTTCACTTCTGGAAGAAGAAGAGCAGGAGTTCCCTGTGGAGGAGATCCTTGCTGAGGATAAACAAGGTGACAAGACATACTACCTTGTCAAATGGAAGGGTTACCCCAGAACTGAGAGTACTTGGGAGCCATTGGAGCATGTCAAGGACACTGTTGCACTTGACCTCTGGGAACAGCAGCATTTCCCCAGTGATTTGGAAGGAGAAAACAATGATGTTGAGGCCTTCCATGCACACCTAGGAATGCCCTCAGGACCCCCCACCACCACCACCACAGATCTGGAGATGCAGCAAGAAGGTTTCAGCCATGAAGACCCAAAAACACTTAATGGCACGCTGCAATCACCCCAGAAAGAAGCCTGGATGCAAGCCATGGAGGCTGAATATGCATCACTGGTCAAAAATGGGACATGGGAAATCATCCCCAGACCCTCTGGAAGGCCTGTAATTGGCCACAAATGGGTCTATAAAATAAAGTGGAAGACTGATGGCACTGTAGAAAGGCATAAAGCAAGATTTGTAGCCAAAGGGTACAGTCAAATCCATGGATTGGACTATGATGAGACCTTTTCACCCATCATCTCCTTCCCTGCTCTGCAACTGATCTTTGCCCTGGCAGCAAAGCATGGGCTTTTATTGGATCAAATGGATGTTGCAATAGCATTTCTGAATGGCAAGGTCAATTCAGAGTGGTATGTGGAGCAACCCCTAGGAATTTCAACAGAGCACCCACCAGACAAGTTTGTTTGCTTGTTGAAGAAAGGTCTCTATGGTTTGAAGCAAGCTGGAAGGCTATGGAACCATACCCTGCATGCCTACTGTTGAGATTCAGGCTTAAACCACGCTGTATGATCTATAAATCATGTGAGATCATGCTGGGATGTCATTAGACAGTTCACATCTGATTTGGCTAAGTTACAACGTGGCGAATTGGACATAGAGTAATCAGAATGATCACAGACGCGTGTGGGAATGATTTAAAGGGGTAAATCATCATGTAAGCGCTCTTAGAAGGTCTGGAAGGTTTGTGATGATCTAGATCTTCAGGTAATGTTTGCCAAGGCATGGCTGAAGCTGCTGAGCATTGCTGAGCACGGCTGAGCATGTAAACAAGTGGGCTGAAGCATGTAAACAGTAAACAAAGGCGGAGGGAGGCTGGAGAATGTACTGGGTTATATAAAGGGGACTTTTGCACGTCTCTGGATTAATACAAGCGTGTTATCCCACAAGTTACTGCACCCAGAAGTCTTACTAGCGGCCACAGGCATTACTAGGCCTTTCAGAAGTGATTTCTACATGGGAAATCAGTGTTCCAAGCGCTAAGTTCAATAGGTTATGAGCCCTGATAGCTATCACTGATATTTTCCTGCTTCAAATCTCTTTTCTGATGGCCACACCATCTTCCTGATGGACCTATCTCCTTCCCAACCTCATATTTGGACCACCTACCACACCAGCATGATTTCACCTCTTCCCCAACAGCAAATCCACTCACCAAATCAGCTCAGACATGTCAAACATGGACTTGGACACCAAACTCACACTGGAAGAGTTCAATGGCGAGAACTACCACCTCTGGAAGTTCAAAATAACGATGTTGCTAAAGGAAAAGGGACTGTGGGGTGTGATTGAGGGGGATGAGAGCAT